GGGCCAACCTGTCCCTGTGGAGAGCCACTCGCCGCCCCCTAGGCGGCAGCTGGACCCTGTACACCACCTTCCCCCAGTTTCTCCAATACTTCACAAGGTCCCACCCAGTGACAGTCCAACTTAGGGTACCGGCCCTTCTTCCTCTTCGGGTTATAACCCACACCAAGTCCCCAACCGTAAAGTCCTTCCTTCTGGCTCTCATGTCATAGTTCCTTTTTTGTCTGATACCTGCTTTCTGCAGATGGTCACAGGCAAAAGCATGAGCTGACTCCATCCGGTCCTGAAGCCTCCTGGCATATTCCGGACCGGGTGGGGCCCCCAGTGCATCCGGTAGTTTACCGAAAGCCATCTCAGCTGGCAACCACAGCTCCCATCGCAACATGAGTAGGGTGGGTGTACACAAGGTGGAGTCCTGTACAGCTGACCTGTAGGCCAGTAGACGAGAGGGAGGTGCATGTCCCAGTCCCTCTGGTGTTTTGCAGTGAGGATGGCGAGTTGTTTTGCCAACGTTCTGTTAAAACGCTCAACCAGCCTGTCACTCTGGGGGTGCAGAGGTGTAGTTCGTGTCTTCTTCATCCCCAGGTGCTCACACATTGCAGTGAACATGGCTGACTCAAAATTCCTGCCCTGATCGCTATGAACCACTTCAGCTGCTCCAAACCTGGAAAACATTCCCTCCACCAAGGCATCCGCGACCGTCTCTGCTTCCTGGTCTGGTATGGCGTATGCCTCCGGCCATTTTGTAAAATAGTCCATGGCGGCCAGGACATAGCGGTTACCTTTATCTGTGCGTGGAAAGGGACCCATGATGTCCACGGCCACTCTCTCCATCGGGGCCCCCACCGCCACCTGCTGAAGCTGGGCATGAGACTGCTCTAGGGGACCTTTGTGTGCGGTGCAGGGGTCACAGCGGCGGCAAAAGTCCTCAACATCTCTCCGGAGCCGGCCCCAGTAAAACCCCTGCCGGAGTCGACACAGGGTTTTCGATACCCCAAAATGTCCTGCCCCGGTAGATCCCCG